CTCCACCGTCTTGAGCTTGGCGAGCTCAAAGATTCCCAGCGGCCGCCACCAGCCTGCGTGGAAAAGAAATGCCGACCGCGTGAAAAGAAACGCCGACCTCCGGGCGGGGACGACGGTGTACTCAGAGCGCCGCGCGAGTACGCGGGGTGCGAATACAGTGAAAACAGCTGAATACGTTCGAACACAGTTATAGCGTGTCCTCTTGAGCGCTAGTTGGAATACCACGTGAGAATGTGTTCGCTTCTAGGGCCACCAGCCCTCTGTCGCGTGCACCGTCCCGCGCGCCCGCGCGTACACCGCCGCGGCGAGCTCCGGATCTGCGGCAAGCGCGCGGGTGACGAGGTCGAGGAGGAGGCAGTGGTGCACCAACTGATACGCGGACTCGTCGTCCAGCTCCGACGGCACCGCGCTGCTGCTCAGTCGCTCAGCTAGGATGCACAGCAGCGGGTTTGCGGCAGCGCTGGCGCCGACGGCTCCGACAAAGGCGCGCAAGTCGACGGCGGCGCCGACGTCCGCCGGGCAGGGAGTGGTACCCGGCGCAACGGAGGGCAGCTCGCGCAGCAGCGGCTCGTGACTGTCGAGTCGGAGCTCGCCCAACAGCGAAAAGAGCAGCTCGCCGTCGGCGGCGTGGATGGGCGCTCCGGCGGGCCGGACTCGCACGGAGTGCCGCTCGACGGCCGCGACGAGCTGCGAGCTCATGCGGTGCAGTGCGGCGGCGGAGGAGGCGGCGACGACCATGGCTGCGAGGAACACAGCACGTCGGGGAAGCGCGATGGCCGATGCGCCGCTGTTTTCATCAGATGCCTGCGGAGTGTTTCTTTTTAGTGATGCACCGCGCTTGAAGATGCACACCGCGCTTGAAAATGCCTTTCTTGGAGTCGTTTCTTTGCGCGTGGGCGCGGGAGGATCCATGCGCGACGGTGCGCACGCTAAAAGCTCGGTCCAACGCACGTGACAGGGTTAGGAAGGGGCAAGGGCAAGCACCGAAAACGGAGTCGTTTGTTTGCGCTTGGGGGCGGGAGGATCCATGCGCGACGGTGCGCACGCTAAAGTCCGGTCCGACGCAGCACGCGTGACAGGGTTAGGAAAGGGCAATTTGTTTGCGCTTGGGGGCGGGAGGATCCATGCGCGACGGTGCGCACGCTAAAGTCCGGTCCGACGCAGCACGCGTGACAGGGTTAGGAAAGGGCAAGCACCGAAAACGCGAAAAATCATGGAGGGGTTGGATGCTAACCCCTACACCACGAAGTCTGATGCATACCGCGACACCACTCATGACTTCGCCGGGATTCGAACCCGGGACCCAACCTCACCTCGACGCGGAGTTTTCCATAGGGAGCCGCGATGTAACTGATGCCGCGCTGCACTTGCTCATATACCTCAAAAGTCGGAATTTTTGTGTTGGGGGGGTTGCTTCGATCGAGCTGCCGAGGCGCCAGCCGAGGCTGCCATACAAGAGGACGAGGCGACAGCCGAGGCCACTACCCAGGGAGCCGAGGCGACAGCCGAGGCCGCCGCCCACAAGGCCAACCAACCAGCTGAGGCCTCTGCCCTATCGGAGGCCGAGGCGCCAGTCACAGCCGCCCCAGCCAAGGCGCCAGCCGCCGCCGCCACACGCAAGCTCTGGTGGAACCTTTTCAGAATTTGCTACATCAGCGCCGTCGCCGTCAGCTGTACCGTCGAGGACTCAAGTCTCGCCTTCGTCTTCGAGCGTGATGCCTCGCCTCGCACGGCCGGCGCTCGTCTCGCCAGTGCTCAAGACTCCTGCGCCAACCTCGACTCCGAGCGGACGTGCTCTGCCGCCTCCGCCGGAGCCGAGCGATCGGCCAGCGCCTCTGCCGCCAGCGCCGTCGCCGTCGGCTCTACCATCGAGGACTCAAGTCTCGCCTTCGTCTTCGAGCGTGATGCCTCGCCTCGCACGGCCGGCGCTCGTCTCGCCAGTGCTCAAGACTCCTGCGCCAACCTCGACTCCGAGCGGACGTGCTCTGCCGCCTCCGCCGTAGCCGAGCGATCGGCCAGCGCCTCTGCCGCCAGCGCCGTCGCCGTCGGCTCTACCATCGAGGACTCAAGTCTCGCCTTCGTCTTCGAGCGTGATGCCTCGCCTCGCACGGCCGGCGCTCGTCTCGCCAGTGCTCAAGACTCCTGCGCCAACCTCGACTCCGAGCGGACGTGCTCTGCCGCCTCCGCCGTAGCCGAGCGATCGGCCAGCGCCTCTGCCGCCAGAGCTGTCGCCGTCGGCTGTACCGTCGAGCAAGGCGTCGCCACCGTCAAGTGCGCTGCCTCGCCTCGCACGGCCGGCGCTCTTCTGGCCAGCGCGCGAGATGCCTGCGCCGCCCTCGACTACGACTGGGCGCGCCCTGCCGCCGCCTCCACCGTAGCCGAGCTCTCCGCCAGCGCCTCCGCCACCAGCGCCGTCGCCGCCGCCGTCACCGTCGAGTACTCGAGTCTCGCTTCCGTCATCGAGAGTGACAACTCACATCGCACAGCCAGTGCCTCACGCTTCAGCTTTCATAGCTTTACCTCCGGCTCCGCGCCGCGCCTCGCCTCCGTCAAGGGCGACCTCGGCCTGCGCCCTCGCGCCCGCGCCTTCTCCGGCTCCGCGCCGCGCCTCGCCTCCGTCAAGGGCGACCTCGGCCTGCGCCCTCGCGCCCGCGCCTTCTCCGGCTCCGCGCCGCGCCTCGCCTCCGTCAAGGGCGACCTCGGCCTGCGCCCTCGCGCCCGCGCCGTCTCCGGCCTGCGCCCCTGCGCCCGCGCCTTCTCCGGCTCCGCGCCACGCCTCGCCTCCGTCAAGGGCGACTCCGGCCTGCGCCCCTGCGCCCGCGCCTTCTCCGGCTCCGCGCCGCGCCTCGCCACGGCATGTCAGTGTCGCCACGGCATGTCAGTGTCGGCCAAGTACAAAACGTCGGGCAAGACCTGTTGCTGTTCCTTTTTACCCACCCCACAGTTAGAGAGCTGTCGATTTTTATTTTTTTATTTACCACCGTCACCACCACCCCTGCCTTTGACATCGACGCCAGGTAAGTACAAAACGTCGGGCAAGACGTAGGTTAGTAAAATATGAAATTTTGGGGGAGTATTTTGGTGAGGTTTATTAATGAGGAGGGTGGGATGTTGGGAGAGAGAGAGATTTTTAGTAATATTAAATGTGTGTGTGAAATGATTTATATGGTGGGACATAAGTTGAGAACGGCGGTGGGCGAGAAGCCGCCGCCGAACGTCTCGTGGAGCAGAAGGTTGAAGTTGTTGCGCTTGACAAAGATCGCGTCGTGGTAGAAACCGCGATGCGCCTTGACGTAGCCGTGGCCGGTCTTGTGGTCGAAGGGTTGGCCGGGCTGCCCGCGCGCCTTGCAGCCCATGTTTAGGCGGCGGGCCTTTTCTTCGGTGTTGCCGAAGGCGTAGGAGTGGCCAACGGAGGCGGGCGTGCCGCCACTCGAGGCGTTGCCAACGCCCGGCGAGGAGGTCTTGAGGAGGGGCGTCCAGAGCTTGATTTCATTCACCTCATCGCATCCTCCCGGTCCCGCATGGGGTTCCGCGAGGTCGACCTTGTACCCCTCGTTGTACTGCCGGGTGAGCTCTGGTTTCTCCTTGTCGCCGTGCACGACCGGCGCGTTGGCCGGGGCGCGCATCGCGTCCGCCCAGGCGGCGAGGACGCCAGGAGTGGGTGTCGGACAGCGCCGACGTGGGACTCCGCTGTCGCGGCGTCCACGGGGCGCAGAGCACGCGTGCTCTGCGCGAGTGCGAGCGCAGGATCGCTCAGGATCAGCAGCACGGCGGCCGCGAGCCTTAGAGGCCCGACAGCCGACATGCCAGCTGAAGTAAGGAGGTGTTTTTGATGTTGGTGAGGAGGGTGTTAAGGAGATTGATATGTTGGTGAGGAAGGTGATATCGGTTACTCGATCGTGTTCAACGACGTTGAACAGTGTTCAACGTCGTTGCACACAAGTGGAGAATGGCCGTAGCTCCTCTCCACGAGCGATTGAGAGGACGTACCAAGTATCGATTCTGTATAGAATTGCAAGGCGCACACGCTGGTGCAGGCGGCGAGTCGTCGATCCGACTCGTTCCGACGTGAAGTTTGCAAACAGGGCCATTTTTGCCACATTTTGCCCTCTCGCGCGATCTTCTCGCGTCGGCAAGCGCGCGGGCCAGGATGGGCGAGCCGGTCCCGCCACGCTGGACGGGCCAGCGGCTGGCACGCGCCGGCCACCCCGGCGGCGCGGCGGCCTCATCGCGCTCGTCGTCTGCGAGGCCACCGCTCGGCGTCGCCGCGTCCGACGGCGATGGCGCTTGGCTGTGAGGTGGGATGGCGGCATGGTGCGCGCGGACGTGGGGGTGGTGCGGGATGCGCGTGCCAGCAAGCATAGTTTCACCTCCCCAACCCCGCAGGCGCGCCGACGTGCTGCCCGAGCGCGTTTGGGGGCAGCAGCAGCTCCTCGCGAGGCGCCTTCGGAGAAGTGCCACACCCCTTTCCCAGCCGCGCGCGGGTTGAGCTCCGATTTGCGCTCTTTTTCGCACACGCCCGACACTAGTAGGTGAGGATCGACCATCCTCCGCTAGCAGGGCTTCGTCGGGCGCGTCTTCGTCGAGCGGTGGTGCATCTCCCATGCTCCCACCCGCGCCCTCCTGGCAGCCCGCCCGCGGCCCACACCGACGCCCTCACGGGCTCACCCTAGTCGTAGGTGCGGTTTTTTTGCGTGCCCCCCGTCGATACGGGGCGCTGGGCGATGGCTGGGCTTGTCGCCGGGCGAGCTAGCCCCTCAGCCGGCCGCGGAGCGGAGGTGCGAAATCGAGGCGGCGCGGCCCCTGCGCGCAGCCTGTCCGGCCGCAGACAGTTCTCGGTCAGCCGTTCCAGGATGCAGGAAAAAATAGTTTCGGCGGTCTGAGGCGGCCCAGCGGACCCCAGCGGACCCGTTGGCACGGCCAGCGCGCGGGGGGCAGCAGGGCGACCCCCCATCCTCACTAGTGTCCTTCCTTTGGGTGTGAAAACGCGACCTCGCCGTCAGACGAGCAGCGCACCGTTAGACGGAGGCGCGCGAGCGCTCGGAGGCCGCCGGACACGACTCACACATGCCTGCGTTGGGCCCGCGCAGCCGGAGTATTTTTCCGGTCCGATTTTCGGGGTGCTCTGTTCACGGCACGGAAAAACAAGCAGGTGAGAGGCTCGTCCTCCGACTCTCACGCCTGCAAGCCGACTGGGGCACCGGAAAATTATTCCGAGCCGGCGGTCCTCGCGTCCGACTGTGTGAGTGACTCGTGAGCCACCACGACACCGCTCGGACCGCCTATCCGCGTCGGCGTCCATGCTGCCGGAGCAGTCGAAACGTGGGCGTCCGAGCGTCGCCTGTGCCAATTGCCGAGCTGCCAGACGGGCCTGCGACGGCAAGTTTGCCGACTGCGTCAAGTACGTGTCGCTACCCACGACCGCCTCCGACGCTCCCGGCCCGTCCCAGCCAGCCTCGCCACCTCCGAGCCGGCCTGTTCGCTCCAAGGTGAGCCCGGGCGGCTCGGAGCATCGCGGCGCTCCGGTTGCCCTCGCCGCCGAGCCGGCTTACTCGCCCGAGGAGGAGATGCGCGACTATACCCACCTGATGGAGCTGCTCGTCGTCGCCGGACGCGCCGCTGTCGCTGCAGTTGGAGCAGGTTGCTGGCAGTCTGGGCCAAGCCGCCGCTGCCGCAGAGGCTGAAGGCGGTGAGCGGCGGGCATCGCGCAGGCAGGCTGGCATGCAGCCGCCAGCGGCGGCGGCAGCGGCGGCGGCAAGCGAGCCGCTGCCCGGCAAGGCGCTGGGCAAGCGCAAGGCCGGCGCGGCCGAGCCCCAAGCTGATGGAGCGGGCGGCAAAACCCGGGCTGCCCCTGCGGCGCGACGTGGCCGGCCGCCGTCCCTCGCAGCCTCCGGCGAGGCGTCGATGGACGCCGTGCGGGCGATCTCCGCGCAGGCGCACGGCGCGCCCCGCAAAGCCAAGGCCGCGTTCGACGCGCAGCTGGAGGCCGCGGAGGGAGCGTCATCGTCGACCACCATCGTCGCCAAAGCCAAGGCGGTCTCGCAGAACCTCTTTCTATCGTCGGGCAACCTCACCGAGGTCGTGGAGGCGAGTTGCGGCGAGCTCGCGCCTCCGCCTCTCACCGCTCGCTCTCGGGCACAGCTCTCCTGGTTTTGCTCGCGCAGGTGGTGGCGAGTTTGCTGCAGCGGCCGGAGCTACGGCCGATCCTGTCGGCGCTAGGCTGGTCCGACAGTCAGCGGCGGCGGGGGTCGGACGACGCCGTCGTCACCTCGATCCGCGACTTCCTCAAGACGCACCTGCACAGCGACGGGACGCGCTTTAGCGAGCAGCAGGCCGCTTTCAACGTCCTCGTACAGGCGGCTGCGGGCCCCCTGGTCAAGTCGGAGCGACGCATCGCGGCGGCGGCGGAGGCGCTAGGCGTGCGCTACGCCACCTTCCGGGAGCTGCTGGAAGTGCGCGCAAAGATGGACGCGGAGGCGGCGCACGAGGTCAAGGTCGGCGGCACGCTGCTCCAGGTCTCGCGCAAGAAGCGGTGCGATGCGGCCGACGATGAGGCTGCCTTGTTCCAGGAGTGGTCGCACGACCCGGAGGTATGCCGCTACGACTCGAATCAGCGGACGGGCGGCAAGCGGGTCCACCGCTTTGACGCCGAGCCGGGCTCCGACGGCCTCACTCGCTTCGAGGTGCACGAGAAGCGCACGCTGCCCTGCTCGCGCAAGGTGCCGCGGCCGAGCCCTTGCCCGATCCCTGCTCCACCCGCTGCGCGTCCTCCGCGCGACCTGACCGGCCTCCTCTCTCCCGGCCCCGTCTGCGCAGGAGCTCTGTGAGCGCTTCATCAAGTCGCCCGAGTACGAGGCCTTCATGGCGCGCACCGGGAACGGTGCGGTGTCGGTCTCCTTCTTCCAGAAGCGTATTTGCTCGTGCATGGTCGACCCAAAGATGAACCAGTGCGCCGACCCCATCGACACGCAGCACAACGTCCTCTTTGACGTGTGGCGCCGCAACGTGCCGCAGTGGCTCGACGAGACGACGTGCAGCCAAAGAGGTTGCATCTGCAAGGAGCAGGGCTTCCGCGACATGAAGTCGCAGGACGACCTCTTCACCTTCCTCTTCTGCGGCGAGTGCGCCGCCGTGGCGGATCCGACGCGAAAGCTGCCGCGCGACGACTCGGACCCGATGCAGCTGCGCTACGACTGCGTGGCCGGCGAGTGCGAGAAGGACGGCTGCTTGCAGGACAAGTGCACGCGCTTGGCCAACTGCCCCGTCCTTAAAAAGGGGGAGCGGGCCCTCCCCCCCCCCCCTTTTGGCCCCCCCCCCCCCCCCCCCCTCACACTCCCGAGACCCGCTCAGGGGGGCAGCGACACGGAGATGTCTTTCCGCAAGTGGACTCTAGTTCCGCGCGGTGTGGCGGAGGGCGCCGCCGACGACGGCGACGAGGACTACGCTGCGCCCGGCGACACGGCGGGCAGGGCGAAGTACACGCGTGAGATGCTTCCGTGCAGGTCTTCTCGCAAGGATTTCGTGCTCTTCTTCCTGGAGGGGCTGCCGGCGCGGCCCACCCAGACACCCTCCAGTGTAGACACCCCTTTGTACCCCCTTTGTACCCCCTCTGCACCCCCCTCTTGTACGATGGTTCCTCGCTGCTCACGCCGTGCTCTCTTCCCGTGCCTGGGCGGCGTAGGCCTACATTCTGCATCGCGGGCGCGCGTGGTGGCAGACGCGGAACCGCCGCTTGCAGGACGCCCGCCTCATCAACGCATACGAGACGCCGGCGGCCGGCAAGTCGTGCAACTTTCGTACCGACTTTTTGGCGCGCGAGGCGTACGAGATGCAGGACGCCTCGACTGGGCAGCGGCCGAACGTGGGCGCGGTCTGCGTCTCCATCGTGCTGCACTCTCCGACGAAGCGGACCGTCAAGACCTACGTCAAGGAGGTCGTCAGCGAGGAGGACGCGAACGGGTACGCTCGCTGGGTGGTCGAGGTGAGCAAGGGCGAGGTGACCGAGGAGGAGAAGGTCGCGCTCACCACCGACGTCTACTTCGGCTA